TAATGTTTTCATAAAATAAGTTTGATTTTAACGACTTTATGAAACAAAAAAATATTGATGGTTTTGTTTTATAAATATTAAAAACGGTTTATGAGTGTCAAATAGAACAAAACACAGGAAGAAAAATTATTTTTTAATAAATAATAGTATATTTAATTCTAAAAAATCTAAACCTTTTCATAAATTTTGTTTTTAGAATAATTTTTTTCTTTAATTATTAAATAATTCTTTTATTTAAAAGAATCTTTTCTATTCTTAAAATATTAAAGAAATAAACTTTAAAATTATATAAATACTACATTGTTTTTATTGATAATTTTAGCTTCAAATTATTAAAAAATTATTTTGTATTATAGTAAAAATCTTAATAAATATCTCAACAAATTTTTATAAAAATAATGTCTTTCGGGTTAAAAATATATCATGGTTAAATTTATTAAATTTATTAAATTGGATATTTATCGAGAAAATTTTTTGATAAAATGACCCAAATGAGATTTTTTTGTAGTAAAATTTGAATAAAAATTCACTATTGTAAAAATTATGGTGATTTATTATAATAAATATGTTGATAATATTTCTATCCTATAAAATTATGAAAAACATCTTTTTCTTAAGCCAAAAGTAATCATTGTAAAAAGTATTCACGTAAAATTATATATTTAATAAAATTAAATATTTTTTAAAAGTTTTTGAAAAAATATACAGTATTGCTCAAAAAAACGTGACCACTAAAATTTAAAAAAAAATATATTGCTATACAGTATTATATTGAAATTTATTTCAATAACATTATGTATTTAAATAATAAATATAGCTAATTTCAAAAATAACATAAAAATTTTATACAAAGAGAAAATTTTTACAATTTTTTTAAAATTGTCCAAAAAAAACGTAATCAGAAATAAATTTCTCTTCAAAATAAATTTTTAAACAGTTTTTAATTATTGACCCATGACTAATTACATTACATATGAAGTTAAAGTCTTAATTGAAGATGATTTAATATCGGGTTTAAGTCAAAGAGAGGTAGCCGTTAAAAGACAGGTTAGTAAAACCTTAGTATGTAATATTAATAAGAATTTAAAGAATAGAACACCACTGGGAAAGAAAAATTGGTTCAGGAAGACCTGAAATATTGTCTGATGAATTAAAACGTCAGTTATTCTTGATTTATGATAAAAATCATAAAGAATCTTGCCTAAAGAATATACAGAAATTTGTCAAAAAATTTACCGTACAAATTTCAAGACAAACTGTATCAAAAATTTAATCTGATTTTGGTTTAGTTACTGCCAAACCAGCGAAAAAACCACTCTTAAGACATATTAATATAGAAAAAAAGACTTACTAATCTGAAAAATTTTTAAGGATTTCACATGAGACCTTAAAAACAAAAATTTTTACTGATGAGTGTAAGTTTTATCTTTTAAATAGCGATACTATTAAGTATATGCATTTTTTTCCTGGACAGAGGTACAAACCAAAAAATACAATTCTTTCAATTAAACATAAGGTGGATCAATAATGGTTTGGGGGAGTATCTCATATGCCGGGGTTGGAAGAATTGTTTTTATTGAAAAAACAATGACAGCTGCAGTGTATAAGCAACTTTTAGCTAATAATTTAAAACAATCTACTCGTGAAATGGGTCTTGAGAAATTTATCTTAATGCAAGATAATGATCCTAAGCATACCTCAAGACTTGTTTCCAACTGGTTAGATGAAAAAGACATTCAAGTTTTAGATTGGAACCCACAGACTCCAAATTTAAACTCTATTGAGGCAGTCCGGGTTCTTGTAAAGTGTAAATTAACTCAATTTGGTAAATTTAAAAAAGATAAATTAAAAGAAGAAATTAAATAATATATATACCATTTAATTTTATTCAAAAGTATGTTGATAGTTTTTAAAAAAGGTATCTAGAAGTGTATAAAGCAAAAGGCTAAAACACTAAATATTAAATTTATTTCTGGTCTCGTTTTTTTTGGATAATTTTTAAATTATAAAAATTTTCTAATTATATAAAATTTATTGTTTTTTTTTAAATTAGCTAAATTTATTATTTAAATATATTATGTTATTGAAAAAAATTAATATAATACTGTATAACAATGTATTTTTAAAAAATTTTAGTGAACACGTTTTTTTGAGCAATACTATACATTGTGACAATAATTTATAACAAAATCAAAATCTTTTATTACTTTTTGGTTTATATAATAAATAAATAAATAAAGTTTTATTTATAGTAAAGATGTTTTTAAGAAAAATTAATTAAAGGTTTGAACAAATATTGAATAGTTAGTCAAATAATTAATATTAACAAAAAGTTTATTATTGATTTCGTTTTTATTACCAAATAATATTAAATTAAAATTAAATTAAAATATAAAAATATAATTGGAGTTGTTTATCAAATAAAATAAAAATAAATCAAATGTTTCATCTAGCATTATTAATATATTTTTTTATTATCTTTATAATAAATTTACATTAATTAATGATTAAATTACAACATCTATCAATGAAATGTAAATTTTAAGTATAAAAGAAATTTTTTGAATCTTTGACAATATTATAAATAAAATAAGATATATATTTAAAAAAATAAGAGGAAATTTATTCTAAAAAATTAAAATTGTTTTGTATATCAAGATAGTTTTTCAATAAACTTATTTATAAAAATAATGTTTTATCATAAAAAACTTAAAAAAATAATTTGTTTTAATAAAAAATGATTATAATTAAAAATCTTTATTTAAAAAATAATTTAATGAATATATAGTAAAGTGTTTTTAAATATAAAATCTTAATTTTTAAAAAATTATGATTTTAAATTGTGTGTTATTCTAATATAATATTGAGAAAAAAATATAAGTTTATATTATTTTAGTAAAATTTAATAAAAATTATAATTTTTGATGATAATCTTGTTTTTTAAATATTAAATATTTTATTAATTAATATAATAAATAAACCTCTAAGATATATTGATTTTAATTAATATATTTACAAGCTTGTTGAATAATAATATGATTAAAAAATAATATCCTGTTTAGATTTACCTTTATATTTGAAAACAGCATATTGATGAAAATAATATCAAGTTAATTTTGAATAAATAAGAAATGGAAGTAAACATTATTGTAATTCTAATAAACATTTATATAGTATAAATATTAATTTATTTTTAAAAAATACTATGTTTTTAATTAATTTATTGGGTATTTCTATTCAAATTTTCGTATATTTTTTGATTAATATCTTTATCTATTCATCATTAAAAATAATTATTCAATCTTTGTTTAATCAGTCAATAAAAATTATATTATATTTTAAAATCATATTTCATAATTCATTTAAAAGTCTTCCGGTATTTTTACTATTTCTATGAACTTGTGGACATATAAATATATTTTAATTCTATCTTTAAAATCATTTAAATAAATACAAAAAAACTTTCAGCATTATCAATTAAATTTAATTTTAGACATTTACAGTTAGAATATAATTTAAACATACTTTCCAAAGTTTTTTTTATTTTCAATATAAGCTTAACAATATAGATTTTGTATAAAAACATACTTCTAATTAAATTACTTGTTTAAATTTTAAAGGTGAATAAAAAATAAGTAATTTATTTTAATATAATCTATTTTTCTTCAAATTTAAAAAGTTTCTCAGTTTTTTATAATTAAAAAATAATTATTTTAAACTGTTGTATGATATTTTTTTACTTTCAACAACATCTATCTTTTATTTTCTTTTTTCTATTTTAATTCTTTATTTTCAATAAAAATCATGATTTTTTATTGAATTTATATTTAAATTTTATGCTAACCATTCTTAAACTTATATATCATTTTGTTAAAAAATGTTTGTTAAAATAACTTTATGTAAAAATTGTTATTTTTTTAAAATTAAAATCATCGGTCATGTTTAATTTTTTATAAAACATAATTAATTTTTAATTTAAATATATAATAAAACCATCATACTACCTTTTATTACTTTTATTTTTCAACTCTTTTTTATTAAAAACGACTTTTCAATATTAAATCAACTCTTATATATTCAAAAGTACTTTTTAATTTTTTCATCACATTTATTTCTTCTTAAATTTTAATATTTACTATAATGTCTAAACTTAACAAGTTTATTTCACTTTTATCTTAGTAAAATTTTCTTTGAATATTATATAGTATTTCATAGATGTATTTTTTATAAACATAAATCTTAAACATATGTTTTAATAGTATAAAAAGACCATATCATTAAAATTTCAAGTATTTTTTATCTTTTCTGTGTTGTAGTTCTATTTAAAAATATAAAACACTTTTGAATGGTTTTATGAACTTATTTTAGGTCTCTTTTGTTTTTATTATTAACAATAACTATTTCTAATTCTTAATAAATCTTCAAACAACCACTTCGTTTCTTTCTAAAGATATTGCTTTTTTATATTAATTTTTTTATAATTTCACAATCTCCGCTCCTGCTATTTTAAATATGACTATATTAGTTTTCACTCCCTAATAATGTATTTTATTATAAAAAATATAATCATATGATTGTTATAAATTATTTAAAAGAGATAAAATTTAAAAAATTCTCTTTATAAAAATTTTAACAATATATATTATATTATAAATACATATTTTTATATAAGATTTTTTGTATGATGTAAAATTATAAATGAAACATAATTTGAAATACTTTTCAAAACAAAACTTCAAATTAATATTGTTTTTATTTTCAAAAAAATATATATGAGAATTGAATAATTATCATTTGTTTCAATTAATAAATTAAAACTATTCACATCTTCAGTTGATGTTATTATAACACTGTTTTTTACTTCATTAATCCCATAACACCTTTTTTATTTCTAATTTTATTAGTAAAAGTTTTTTATATTAAAAAATTTTTTAATATGTTAAGCTAAACAGTTTTATTATTTATAGTATTTTTGATCAATATAATATGATCTGTAGCCATTTGAATTTAATTTACAATCGATTAAATTAATACAGATTTAAAATATTCTTTTACAATCAATATAATAAACCTTTTAATAAATTGAAAAACAACAACAATCAATTAAATAATAAATATTTATTTTTAATTTTTAATCAATATTGTATTTCTTATAATAAATTAAATAATTTTTGCAATAAATTACGTATATAACAGCTGATAAACTATACTTTTTTCAACTGTTATAATAATCTTTGCCTCAAATGAATAATTATTACAATCAATCAAATAATTAAATACTGTATGGGATTTATAATAAATTAAATATAAAATATTTTATGCTTTATATGTCAAAATAATTTTAATAAAAGTTTAGATGCGAGATAATAGAAAAACAGTTGTTGTGGAAAAAACAGAGACAAATGTAGTGGTAGTATAAGAAACAGGTGTAATGATAAAATCTCTAGTAAAAGGGCTACAATCGAGTCTGAGGAAGCAATGTAAAGTTGTTTTATAATAATATCAAATAAAGGATAGTGATTTAATCATTTGAGGTCACAGGTTCACGCCATAACAGATATGTTAACAATATCTTACAAGATTGTTTTTAATATTATAAAACACTATAATATTAATGATAACATATTACGTCTATCTCATTATGGTAATAGGTGTTTTAAACACACAGTGGTAGAAAATATGACTAGCTTAAAGTTTTGTTTTAAAAGTATTAAAAAAATTCATTTTAAATCGTCTTTCATTTATAATATAACATTAAATTAAAAAGTGTTGTATATAAAATTATACTTTTCAACTATATATGTCTAAAAAAAATCAAAAATGTAAAAAAATGAGACTGTTGAAAAATTTTTTATTTTCCTGTTGAAATAATTTTTTATCATCTACTTAATATCAAAACATGTTTCTAATGAAGATAATATAAAAATAGTTATATTTAAAGAAGCATGAGTAAAGAATTTTGAAATTTTGAACAAATTTAAAATAAGTAAAGCATCTTTTTTAGAATATTTAAAAGGCATTAACCAGTGAATAATTTTGATAGAAAGAAAAGATCTAAATGTTTAAAGATCTTAAATGAATTAAAATTCAATATTATTAAGAGTAATAAAATATAGAATTAAAAAATTTTTAAGAAAATTAAATAAAAAGTTTAATATAGTATTAAATAAAACAGCTATACCAAAAACATATAGAAATATTTTAAATGATAATGAGTTAACTACCTTTAAACTATTAAAAACACTTTTTAATACAAAAACACTTTATAAAGTTAAATTTTATTAAATAATGTCTATAGGATATTATAGATTATTGGAAGAAAATTTCATGGACGAATAAAGTTAAAATAAACTTTTTAGGTTCAGATATAATAGTTTTATTAGAAAATCAAGAGGTATGAGTTATGATGAAAAATAATTTAATCTTACTATTAATAACACTTTAAATTTTTTACAATCAATTAATTCTTTTCCCGT